CAAACCATTCTGTGGTTCTGTGATAGGACAGGTGGGGAGAGGGAGGGTCTGAGTCTGGGTGTGCAGTTACTACGAAAATTCCAAATGGCCCAAGAGTTGGACAAAGTAGAGAAAAGACGGTAGAGTGAACCAAGAACTGAAGTAATTCCTGGCTGTGTGTGCATCGTGTGGTACGTTATCTGTGAGCATTGTATGTGTGCATCTGGTTCTGTGTGAAAGGGGGGCACACAAATGATGTTCCATGGGGATAAAGTAAACTAGTGTTGCCACAGAGTTCCTGGATGCTTGCGACAAAACTTATTCCCCTTGAGCCACAGAGGTTAAGATAAGATCAGAGTCATGCATTCACGTGTCCCGGTCCTGGTTTGGACTGCCCTGGGTTTTGGTTAGTGCATAGGGATACCCTGGCACCGCAGTGCTGTTGGCTTGTGACACTGCTCTGGCTGCAGCTGAGCCTGTGCACAGGGGGCAGAGGGCTGGCCATGGCGACGGGCACGTCGAGAGCAGTTGTCAGAGCACAGCAAGCAGGTGGCCGTCTTCTCTGCTCCAAAGCAAAAATCTTGCAGGGCTGACGTCTTGAAGCGGTGAAACGTTCTGCCGCGTTTAATAAAGCACTGTCCAAAACGTGCGTGGCGTTTTACAACTCAGGGAGAGATGCTCCATCAGACAAAGCGGATGCGTAGATGTTGTATCCTGCCAGCAGGCCATAACAACGATTTATTTATTTATTTACCCCATGTCTTTATTAAATACAGCAATTTAATTGCAGAGGTTAGCAAGCTGCATGTATTAAATATGCTGCGTGCAGGGCATACTGAGTTTTGAATGTGCTCAGAGTCCTGGTTGGGAAGGGCCTCACGCGTTAGTAGCCTCTGACGTTCCACAGCGCCAGGCGCACAGAAGCAGGGCTGCTCAGCATTTTTTGCTACTGCTTGCGTTGGAGCTGAACCAACTCTTGTGAGTGCGTAATGGTGCCACAGTGCGTTAATGCAGCTGTATAATGAGATTATTTAAACAGCTCTTCATTTTAGCAAGCAGCTGGCACTTGTTTAACTGCTGGGCTACTATCTCCCTTGTGGCCACTATCCTTCTGCGTGTTCTCCAGAGCCTGCTTGATGTAAAGACACTGAGACTATAAGCCATAATCTTGCCGGACAGGTGGCATATGGTGCATACACGTTACACAACTCTTGCTTCAAAATATGTACGCCAGATTGGCACTGGGAAACAACAAGGCGGTGAAGGAGCTGGAAAAATCCCTAGGGAGCAACCTGCAGAAGCATGTTTTTTCATTACTTGAAGAAAGAGA